CATTTAGCTTAGGAACCTTCCTAACCGAGTGAAATGACCCAGAAGTCCCTCAGTGGCAGCCATGATAAGTGCCGTTCGAATTCTCTAGAATGATAGGAAAGGAGGTTTCAAACTTCCTTTATAACCTCCTTTAGCTTAGGAACCACTGGACCTCCCTAACCGAAAGGAGAGGAGAAAATGCTGCCCCACAATGCCTTGCAGCCGCAGCATTTGACGTCACACAACAGTCGGCCGTTCAGGGAAACAAACGATTATGACAGCCTGTCCTCCAACAAAAAACGACCAAATAGGTCGATTGTTTTCCGACCCAAATACGACCCATAGCCACGTTTTAAAGTGTAGCACCTCTAGTGGTCGTGTAAGATACAACATGCTCCCGTCTATTCATTTCTTGCAGCAGTTTATTACGACCTCTTGTCATGTTTTAAATTTAGCAACTCCTGGCGGATCGTAATCCCGTGAACTTTAACCTTGGGCATTAATAAAAGTGCGACGAGTGGAAGAAGAAGAAGACAATATGGTCTAGCTGCGGCCGCGGCCAGTACACGGCGGTACACGATGGTACACGACACGCCCACCTGACACTACGGTGGCTGAGAGGCATGGCAGATGAAAAGCGAATTGACGACAACTACGCCGCCTATGGTGGAGACCGTACATGGCATGTTATTGTAGCATTTTAAGCAACTAAATTAATAACCTATCCGTTTTAAGCAACTATTAGGCATTTTAAGCAACTATTAGGCAACTAAATTAATAACCTATCCGTTTTAAGCAACTATTAGGCGTTTTAAGCAATTAAATTAATAACCTATCCGTTTTAAGCAACTATTAGGCAAATAAATTAATAACCTATCCGTTTGAGAACCCCTTGGAACCCCTTATCCCATTTTGATGGTTGACATCTCATTTGAACAGTGAAAGCCAGAATATTGTAAAAATGCTTACCAATGATGTATTAATAATGGGATATATATAGCGCCTTTCATGAGACCCAAGGTCCCTTTAAAAAGAAGAACTGGAGTAGAAACAAACATAACAAAAGGCAGTCAAACAAAACAACAAATAGATTTGGGGCCAAAGGCCTTGGCAGACAGATGGGACTTGAGGGCCCTTTTGAAGGCATCAAGTGTGAGGATGTTGCAGATCTCTGCAGGGAGAGCGTTCCAGAGAGTGGGGGCTGCCATACTGAAGGCTCTGTCCCCGAAGGATCGCAGGTTGGTGCGGGGGGCCAGAGTCTGAAGACCGCAGGTTCCGGGGTAGAGCATGTGGGAATTGTATTGATTGAGCCAGTGTTTCATCGTGTACTTTCAACTGCAGTATATGGTCAGGCAAGTTCAGCATTCACTGTGATGTATATAAAATATGACACTGATACCGTTTTCCTCAATGAACATTTATTGAACAGAACATCAATTGGAAAATCAGAGCTGGTCAACTTAAAAAAATATTGAATAAATAATAAACTCCTCGGAATCTTTCACAAGTCCTTCAGCCTTTGGTGCGCTTCCTCACTCATGTTCTTGGCGAGGTCATGAGAACAAAGTTCCATCTTACTGATAAGACTAGATGGTATAAAGAAGTCATATGTAATATTATAAAATCACATGCATCAGGGGTTGTACACTTTAATGTGTCCATTCACTAACCGACTCTTTAGGAAGGAAGCTGTAAGGCCTCTTGTTATAGGAGTGGTCCTCATCAGTGTCCAGGGGCATCTGTAGACAGTCAACCATTATTTTGACAGTGCTTTACATGCACGGTTTAACTCCTCCAAAAATGATCCAGGCTCGATTCAGAATGACACAGTACCACACAAAACAAATGTTGCATGTACCATAAGTTCTATGTAGTATGTGTTTTAGGAGTAGTAACCCATTCTGAAACAGGCACACAGGGTCATAGATACGTTGAGCGATACACTGACCATGGTGCTGCTTGCATGCGTCCTTTTACGACTGATCCTGAATGTACGTGGGACATTGTCGCTAAGGGTCGCCCTGCCTTCCTCACTATAGTGAGCAAACCTCTTTCCATACCTGCAATTAAGACACATTTTCTTCACCAGAAGGTTGAATTTTAGAGCCAGGTGTTCCCCCCAAATCTTCTTGATAATACAATTACAAATTCAAATGTTTTTGTAGCACTGCAGCATACCCTTCCAGTCCAAAGTTTTCCACCAGGATAACACACCACCACCTTCTCAGGAGAGACATGTCATGCTAAAGAAAGAGCATCAATTTTCATTAAGTTTGTTATAGCATTTTAATGTGACTTCTTTCCTTAATACTTACAATGCTGAAGTCAAAGCTGGCCTCCATGGCAAAGTACCAGGCATACTGTAATGAGAATTTTATTAGGACATGCAAGACATAATGTACACGTGACGGCTGGGTGTGACCCGGTCCTTTCACAAAATGGACACTGGAAGGTGTCCGAGTCCAATTTGTTGAGCTCTGGGCGTGCTCCATCACGGAGTGTTGTGTTGTTTGTCTATCGGTGAATAAAATAGAATACAATTTAAGTGACTTTAATATTGGAAATAGTTAACTCCTTAAACAAGCAGCAATGGACTGGCCTGTATAATCCTATGGGACAAAGCTGGTCATACTTCCTCACTTTCAGAAGGTAACCCTTTAATGCACAAAACAACCTCTAGATTTCACTGTGGTTCGAACAGAAAGCCCTTCAGCTAGTTTAAATGTCAGGCCTACAGCATAAACCCCATCTAAAAACAGAGGCTCTGTCCTAATTACCTGATTGCATCCACCTGGGTTACTTGGCTCTACCCAATAACTACCATTTAACTTTAAACCACACTTAAAATAATAATTATACATATTTACATGTCTACAGTATAAGAGCTAATACATGTTTTAAATAAAAAACATTCAAATGTGAAAGACACCTTCAATTAATATTTAAAACTTACATAAAATCAGATTCTTGTAAAAATTAGAGTACATGCATGTTCAGTTAGCATATATGCTAAGTTAACTGAACGTCGAGCATGTCAAGCTAAGATATATATATAGCAAAATAAACACAATTACACAGCGCTAAACAGCCACATCGACAAACAAACGAGAACCTAAATAGTATGTAATTATATCTAAAACCACAATACGTTAAGTACCTGTACTCGGTGCGCCATGTTGTTTGTTGTCTGTAAACCTCACGTGTTGGGCGTGCTCTCTTCTGACCATATTTGGAAGTACAACTTTTCGCGGCCGCAGCTAGACCCTTTTTTAGGGCTGGCCCGTGGCATAGGCAGTATATGTGAATGCTTGTTGTTAGCAATAGCATGGTTGCAAAGGTTAGCACTTAGCTTAGGTACAGATGCGCTAACGGATATGTATTGCAATATAAGAAGGTTCTTCTACAACAAGTTGGAGGGAGAGTTTTCTCCTTCGCACAAAAGGAGCTAAAATCTTGCCTAAAAACAAAACCCTTTGTAGCACGTGACATAAAACATAACAATGGCAAAAGTATGTATATTCAGCCAGACCAGGACATGATATGACCTTAAACAATGCGAAAGGAAATGGCATTTTAATAATAATAATAATAATAATAATAATAGACATTTACATGGCGCTTTTCATAATGCACACACTTTTTTTTCTTCTAAATGTCACCTAACATGTTGCATTAATGATAGTCAAAGGGATAGTGGAAATCCGCGAATTTTGGGTTTAACTTATGTATTTTTATTAAAAATAAGCATAATAAACAATTTTTTTTTATTTCATGCGCCTAGTTTCATTTTATTTTCAATTTTACTGCGCCCTCTGAATGAAACGAAATCTTCGGGTGATGACGAGAGCATAGGAAGACGGGCACAAACAATGGCGGACATTCAATAGCATTTGCATGTGAATAGCCGACCTTTATTATGGTGAATAGATGTGTCAATACTTTATACCGAGTATATTGCCATAAATATGATGATTGATTATCAGTAAAAAATTATACGTGACACAACGACATTGGATTAACCTTGATAATGCGTTTGTATTCCGTTGAACACAACTTTTGATCACAAATCAAAAAAGGTAAGACGTAATTATTGTAATATTTTTGGAACCGGATGTTGTTTACTTTCTCTTTATAGCTCCAGGAATTCGAGGTCTTACAGTGATGACATTACATGTGTGGAATCTGTGGAGTCTCAGCTTTAAATCGTATATCTTGTTTGTGCAGTTAAGATAGTAATAAGGGCATTTCTACCGTGTGTTGTGTGTAAAAAAAGCGTTAGCATTAGTTAGCATTGTTTCGCTCAATGCTAATTCAAAGGCTTGGTATTACTCTTGTGTTTTTTCTAGCTAACAATTGTTCTTATTGTCAGTTAGCGGAGTTTCTTACCTTTAAAAGGGTATGAAACATTAATAGTTTCATAAATGTTAAGAAGCCCTGAGACATGTGAGAGAAAAAAAACTGTGGGAGGGGTCCACTGGGGGGACCTTCGGGCTTAACTGGTTAACAATGATTAATATTTGTAAAGGCTACAGGTGATCTTAAGATGCGTGAGCTATGCTTAGGGACCTACCAGTCAAGATTATTTGTGCGTAGGGGTGCATCATCTGGCGCCTGGTCCTGGTCATCCTCGCCATTGCCCATGCCGTGAACCATCACCTCGGGCTCGAACAAATAAGGACGTAATGGTCCATCGTCTGGCTCAATATTGTCACCATCGTCGCTTACTGAACCGGATTCAGATTCAGTTCCTAAAACGACATTTTCGTAGGAAAGCCGAGAGGATGTTTCTGACTCGCTATCATCACTGGATACCTCGTACAATCCTTCTTCTTTGTCTGGTATATTTGCCCTTCCACGTTCATTCTGCATAGACGCCATAGTTTGTTATCGTATCGTCTTCCTAAGTTTTCGTCACTTCCGGTTTGGCTGAGTCGAACATTTCGTTTCTAAAAAACTTCGGGGAAGCTGCAATAAAGTGCTTCTAACATGCATAAGGCAATTATTATATTTTTTTAATCAGGTGTGATTGTTTTGGTACGTAATTATGCTTGTATATAAGTTAAAACGAAACTATTTGAGGTTCCATTTCCACTATCCCTTTAAGGTAAGTTCAACACTTTAATATAATCAGGTCATAGTAGTTTTACTACTTTAAACATTCGCTAATTCAACTTAAGTTTTGTGAAGCCATCACATCTAGTTAAAAAGATAAATATATTTCCCTGTAATTACTGATTTACCTGGGACTTGATTGACATTGGTGCCTGTAGTTTTATTTAGACAAATGTTTATTTATGAAGCAACAATTAAAATACATGGTAGCACAACTAATCTGAGTTAATCTGTTTGTTATTTTTCAGGTCATCCATCAATTCAATTATTTGAAATAGCCTATTATCATAAAAAAATCAACGGTTCTTTTCAGGGCCATATTCTTCTTCCTACTCTCTTTCACCCCTCTCATTTTCTTGTCTTTTGTTTTGTTTTTCTCCCTCGCTGTATGTCAGTTCATCCTTTGTTTGTTGTTGCCCTTTTTACCCTCACTTAAAAATGGCATCCAAGCAACTGAATGAATGGCTAGAGGCAGGGAAAGCCCTCTCAGATGAGTTGGCAAATAAGGCAAGTACAACATTATCCAAATATGTATTATAACATTTACTCAAATGATAAAAGACACACACATTACAAAGATTTGTGTGCAACAATTAAGGGATATATCTAATCTCTTTTATATATTAATATACCAAAGAAACCAAAGAAAATAACGCAAGGATCAAATATGTCCTGGAGGAAGAGGGACCTGGATGGGAACATTCTACCCCAACATTGGAATAAGAATCGATCTGGTCTGTACAATATCATCTAGTTCTAGTGTTTCATTAAGTTTTAATGTCGTTGGTCTTCAATAATGTTTCCTATATCATCGTACTTTGTTTATGCAGTTAAACCTTCCAGCTCTCTGGAGTCCCCAGAGGTCGAGGAGACACATGATATTCCTCTACAGGTCCCAAGTCTTGGTATGCACAATGAATTCTTAAATTATCCTTCAACTTGAAATGTAGCTAATTGTTTATAGTATGTAATAGCTGTGTTCATGATACATTTTAAAGTGATAAGCCATCAACAAGTCCTCCAACTAATACGACCAAATAGGTCGATTGTTTTCCGACCCAAATATGTATAAGTATGGAATAAGTATGGAATATCTTTTTTTAATTAAACTAAATTCCATGATTTGTTTTATATTTTGTTATTTTAGATCAACATCTTCTCACACTGAGAAACCTGTTGGGTTCTCTCACTGTCCCTGCATCATCAGAAGAAACACCCACTGTAACAACATGGACCCAAAGACAGTTGAAACGTGAACAAAAATTCAGAGCTGCAATGCCAGAGCTCCTTAATTTGAAATTGGCTGCAGAGATTGTCACTAAACATTCCTGTCTCCAATGCAAAACTGCTGATGCTGTGGTCCGGTGCTTGGACTGTGTTCCACCAGGAACTCCCTTTCTTTGTCCGGCATGTGACCCAATTATCCATGGCAAAAATGTCTTCCATGACAGGGAAGCCATGATTGATGGGTTTTACAGACCTATTCCTCCCACATCCTTAGTGGTTGTGGATGAAAGTGGCCAATATGGACTCTGTGAACAAGGTGGGTTCAAATAGTTTATTACATATTCCCTTACCATGGTTTCCTAATGTGCACTACATATACAGCGGCATCATTTTCACCATGTCGGAAGTTTGCTTTAACTATTCAAATGTCTCAATTTGTATTGACTACATGTCCTAACATGCATATGAATCTCTGAAATTGTCTTTGCTGCAGTGTGTCTGCTTCCAATTCCTCCACCATCCCAAATCTGTTTCTGTGGTCCAAGCAAAGATTTCACCATCATCCCAGGAAAGCAGACCGTGTTGGTGACTATCAATGGTTTGTTGCCACCAGAAGACGATGTGGTCAAGCAAAAATACAGGATTACTATTATACTTTTGTCCTGCGTTGCATAGATACCTGTCAAATTGCACATTTATATTTTTTCTCAGGTCCATACAATGTTTGCCTGCCTTCTGTGTGCTGTCCAACTTGTTCCACCAAATGGTCCCCGAGCATAGGTGACTTGCTTGGATACAAATACTGGCCAGCAACCGACAGCTGCAAAATTATTTTTAAGTTTGATGTGTTCACATCATTCGAGCAAATGAAATTGGCCAGCCCAGCATTATCCCAGCAAGTATTTATAAAAATGCTTGAACATCGATCGTTTTCCACAGGAAGGGTAAGAATAAAATGTGGTTTTCAAGATTTTTGAATACCAAACTTTGAATTAACAAAATGAATACCATTCTTGTTTCCAGACAGGCAGAATCTGTAGCGATACCTTCCACAGAGTCTTTCGGGAGTTTGCCTTCTGTAATTACAGACAAGAAGATCTGTGCCTGGTGGAGCCCTTTAAATGCCCAGCATGCACACCTGACATGCTGGCTATTGCTGTAGATGGCAATAGAAAGCATTATCGTTTCAAGAAGTCCAGAGGGTCAGTGAAATCATATTCTCATTTTAGTTGTTGTTTTATTGACTAAGCTGAATGTCTTTGCTGAAATGTTTAACTTTCCCCAACTTTCCAATTTTTTTATTTTATTTTATTTTCCAAAGTTTGTAGACCATCAGAAAACAATAGTTGGTTTGTAATTACACATAATTATATCAATCCAATTCATAAACATTATTGTATATGACACCTGTAAAGTTAGCTCAACTTTAAAATGTTAAATGGTTGAGGTTAGTTGGATATGTTGGAGCTAAGAACCAGCTTTGGATATAATCGCTTCATGATAAATGTATTAAATTGTCCAGGAACCTTTTTCTCTGCCTTCCTCTGCCCTATTCCATGCCAGCAATATAAAGGATGTACTTTTATTTTTACCTTTCTACAAGAAGTCAGTAAACTTTTCACTAATGTTAAATAATGGTGACAAAAGGCTTTACACAAAATTACAGATCAAATTCACAAAGGCCTTTTCCACATTTATGAAAAATTGATAGCAAAAGCAAATTGCCCACATTAAATAGAGGACACAATCAAACTTATGTATGTATGATAATGTTGCTTACAATTTATTTCTCGAATTTCGCAGGACAGATGAACCGTCTCTATTTGATGGACTGTTCATTGCTCAGGACAGTAAAGTGTCTGCCTTTGTCGACAAAATCAGGAGCCAGATGACGATTGTAAGAATCTATTCAACCCACTAACCCTTTTATTTATTTTACTTAGCACAGGGTTAAATGTAACAGATTGTGTCTATTTCAGAAAAGTGGTCGTGATGTTTGTGGACCGGCAACATTCACAGCTTGCAGAGAAACCTCACACAAGTCCAGGGCCAAGGTGGACGAGGAAGGCCTGCAAATAGCTGTGTGCAGACATGGCATCTTGCTACAAGGCCTAAATCACTACCGTGGTGAAATATATGCCTGCCCAATGTTCCTGCAGAAGGAGCTGGCTGAAGTTGCGAATGCAACATTCTTTTGTATGGATGTTGCCTGCAGGTAGTTATAACTATTGCAAAATGCAAAGTGTTTGTGTGAAACGTGTTATCTATTTAATTCTTGCACATCCAGTAGATGTAAAGCAAAAAAAGCATTCATTTGGATAAATGCTGATGTTGGTTACAAGGATTGTACTGGTAATTTTAAGGACCTGATTTATCTTTTTACTATTATGCCATCATGCAACTGGAAAAGCTAATTGATTTTGTCATTACAGGTACTGGCCTTATTTGGAGAAGATCGCAGCAAAGTTGCCAGAGCTCCAACCACTTACAGAGATGAAACCTTTTCTCTCTGTAATGCACGCCAAGGCCCACACAGGCAAATGCGAGGTACAGTATGCAAGTTAAACATTTGTGTGACTAGATTCAAATGTTTTAGAAATTGTAGTGCACATAAGAATATCATGTAGTATATTCTATTCAAGCCTGTGGAATAATTGCAATAGTTACAAATGTTGACAAAATTGTTACAAAACAGACTGTCACAAGGATAGGCTTCCAAAACCCATTATGTTGTTTTAGTAAATATATCCGCACTGTAGAAATAATGAATGAACAGAGCTTAAAATAACTGCAGTTGTGACATTGTAGTTCAAAGCATAATTCAATCTCAGAACATTTTAACTTTCTGAAATTTCTCCTGACACTGATGGTAACTAAAGATGTACAGTACAAGAAATTATAATATTGAACTAAATATCTAGATCTCATTGTTTATGATTCTGAGCAGGTGAAGTGGGGTGGCAGAAGCCAGGAAGGTGCTGGAAATACTGTTGGCGAGGAAGTGGAACAGGTTAACAGCTTCCTCTCAAGGGCAGCTCTGACAACAAAATACATGACCAAATCAGGTTTGTAGAGGAAAACAAATTGTTTTAGGCAGTGCCACATTGTAAAGCTGATGTGAATTCTCATGTTTTTGTGTTTACAGCTAGAGCAGATATGATAACCGTGCTGGCTATGCTATGGAACCACAGGAAGGTGGAGAATCTCCACAAGACACTCTCAAAGAGATTTGTCAAAGTAAGACGTCCATGCTGCATTTCAAAATGTACATTAAGAATATCTGAGTTTCTTGTTGTAGTAATTTAACACCATCCATAGCTACATGTTGTTGAATAAAATATATTCTGCAATCATGTCATTATGATGGTGCTGCCATGGCACACTGCTCTGCCAAGAGAGTCTCTGTTCTGTTGTTTGTAATTAAGCACTATAGGTTGATTCATCTGAATTTCTGTATAATAATAATCATGTTAATCCTGCTTGATCTTTTAAAAAAAAGAAAAGGGACACTAAGGTGATACTTGCCAACCTTGAAGAGAAGGTGTTGAGCATTTCATGTTGTTGTCTGGTCAGTTAATGTTCATAAAGGAATTCAGTAAAAAACAACCTTCTCAACCAACTGGAACGCATATTCACTTTCTGCTTTTAAACATTCTAACCAGACTACACAGAGAGCACAAACTGAAGTGGACAATCTTGAGAGTCTCAAGCAAGAGCTGAACATCTCCCTGGAGGACACGGAGCAGTGGGTGTTGGAGGTCAAGCAATGGGCAGCCACTGGTATGTTATATGATCACTGTGGTATAGATTTGGTTCCATATTTCCAAACATTTGGCTTCATGTTTTATGATTATACCTGGTTGTTTCTGTTTTCAAGAGAAACATGGAGGCCAGAGCAGCCAGGAGGAGCTCCAGAGAGAAATAGATGACATTATTTATTCCCTCCGAAGAAAGAAACACGACCTCTATCGACAAAATGGTATTTATTATTACGTTATCTAGAAACAATATTTGTTTCTTGTTGTTGTTATTGTTAGTATTATTATTATTTTTACTTTACAGACAGCAACCAAACAAGGCAACGCAAACGGAGAAGACTGACAGAGCTCAAGAAGAAACTCAGAGAGAGGATACTGCAGTACAACACCATTGATACCTGTACAGAGACAATTGACACAGAAGCAGCATGCAGTCTGTCTGAGGATGTCATTCTGGCCTGGGAGGCGCAAGGAGATGGTAAGAAACAACTTGTTTTTGTTTGCCCTAGATATTCCATAAATTCAGTTGTAGTACTAGAATACAATCACCAATGTAACACAGAGCTGTCAACATAGGTGTCACAAATCATCATGATCACAACAAAGCATTTTGAAATAATTATATTGAAAGGTCTGTATGATGTTGCCCTATCAAGTCTTAATAGTCATGCTATAGTCTCACTGGGACAGGCACATCTATGGAAACAGTAAAACCCTTCCTGACCACCCTGAACTGCATACTAATGTTGAATCTCAAGACATACTGAATGTAATTCTGCCAACATAGACAGAATTGAAAAAATTCAGCAAGCGGCGAGGTTGAACATTTTTTACCAGATTTCAAGGTTTTGGGCAATTTAAGTTAAAAAGATTGAATGCAAACGGATATTATTTGTTTTATTAGCCTTACCATTGTGGTTGTGTTGTCATATTTTGTGTTTTTTCCATTATGGTGGTGAACCTGCGCACAAAGAGGCGACTTTTTGACCAGGTTATGCTGGTCAGGCGTATGGAAGAGGAGAAAGTCATCATTGTGAAGGAGATGACCCAGCATTGTCAAAATCTGAGGCAGGCACTGGACAAACTGGACCACCTCCTTCATCAGACAAAAGACGACATCAGGAACCAAAGTATGTTCCACAAATACCGATTTATAACATTTGCCACTGCCCCTTCTGGTCAGTGTCAAACGTCTGTCACTGAATAGCATCTGTAATGATTGCATTTTTTCTGAATCACAAATCTTTTTAGCTAATATACAGCCTCGGCGTTAAACATTAAAATTGCTTATATGGAACCAACATCAATGCTAATTAAAAGTTGCCTTACATAGACTGTCATTTTGTCTTTTTATTTTAGTTTCTCCAAGCGATATAACAGAAGAGGGATACAGGGGACTGCACTGCTGTCTTTTACACCATCAATATCTTCTGGAGCAGAAACTGAGCAGAGTCACCAGCACCTACAGCTGTATTGGCACGGACTTGTCTTTTCTCATGATGGAGGAAGACATTGAAGACGGTGATGAGGACAACGAACAGGAAGGTGATGAGGACAACGAACAGGACGGTGATGAGGACAACAAACACGACGGTGATGAGGACAACAAACAGGAAGGTGATGAGGACAACAAACAGGAAGGTGATGAGGACAACGAACAGGACGGTGATGAGGATAACGAACATGACGGTGATGAGGATAACAAACAGGAAGGTGATGAGGACAACAAACAGGACGGTGATGAGGACAACGAACACGACGGTGATGAGGACAACAAACAGGACAACGAACAGGACTTAACAAGTCTATTGTATTGTGTTGTATGCATGTGAACGTATTAAAACGAGTATTACGATTTAATGGCTTGTTTATTACCTTTTTTTTGTATTATCCTGCTTTGCATTTACTATGTCTGGTATTCAACTAAATGCCATTAGCAGTTATCAGTCAGCTTCGGATCCGAGTTACCTCGAGGGCCGGAGGTTCCCCACCCCTGGTATAAGGTTTTGGTGATCACCCTTATTATCATGATCTGTTTAATTAACCAATGCTTACATCCAAAGAATGTGTCTAGACTTTACTCCTACAGACACACACTAACAATACAAATGGACCTAAGTAATACACTCACCGGCCACTTAATTAGGTACACCTTGCTAGGATGGGTTGGACCCCCATCTGCTTTCAGAACTGCATTAAGTCTTCATTGCATAGATTAAACAAGGTAGGCTACTGGAAACATTCCTCAGAGATTTTGCTCAATATTGACCTGATCGCATCACGCAGTTGCTGCAGATTTGTCAGCTGCACATCCATGACGCAAATCTCTGGTTCCACCACATCCCAATGGTGCTCTGTAGGATTTGGATCTGGTGACTGTGGAGGCCATTTGAGTAAAAGTCATTGTCATGTTCAAAACCAGTTGGAGAATATTTGAGCTTTGTGACACGGTGAGTTATCCTGCTGGAAGTAGCCATCAGAAGATTGGTACACTGTTGTCATAAAGGCATGGACATGGTCAGCACAACCCGGTATCAAGGCAAGACGTGAACATGTGACGATTTACCATGCTGGGAGACGTGAAGATGTCACGATGTTGTCCCTTCAAACGTGACAATTACACAGTATTGTTAACATAGCCCAACCAGTGGAGATATACCCGGAAATGCCAAGCAAATGCTACCCCGACGGTCGGTTGTTATTATTATCAATATTAATAAAATAATGATTTAATTTGTAATAGTCACACTCGATTTCGCCGATTTTCTTGTTGCTCCAGCTGGTCGACACCTCTTTTAGCAGAAACAAAGGCTACATTAATTTATTAAATCGATGTTAATCTGTGGATGTGGAATTAACGGACGTGACGTGCGTTTGTGTTACCAGGCAACAGCTTCGGTTCATGTTAATTTACAAACTCTTCAACTCGAACAGTAGTCATATTTAAAAACATTTTATATGGCCTCACGAAATACTTTAATGTAAATTTAAATGTGAAGGAATGTGTGTGTATAACAAAATACATCTGTCAAAAACAATACCGGAAACAGACCTCAGCTCGGTGATTCGATGGTTTAGCCGCAATGCACGTTGGGAAATGGTGTTTATGCGATGTGAAATCCGAAAACATTAAAATAATACTTTATTCTGAGTGTGCTTGCTTTTCTCTTTGAATGTCATCACATAACGGCATGGTAATACACGGTTCGGCTGCATTAAATATTACATATCTGCCGTAGTTCTGTATTTATACAGCCCTGATGAGAAGACTTCTAGACAAACATGAGAACTGCCGCCAAAACTGAAAACGTGAAGTGGATCATACATATATCAGCAATTAAACAACATCTTAGATTTATTTTCACACAATACGTCTCCTTGCAGTATCAACACTAATTCGGCTGACTTTTATATTTGATCCAATTGGTAGATAGGCTGTATTTACACCATAAAGGTGCACAGCTGATAGAAAGGGACACCTAGTGGTTAAAGCACGTTATTGAATTTTATTATTATTATTATTAAACAGAATAACGGCCCGTCTACACTACAGGCGTCCAAAAAGCTTGAAGCTGGGCGTGTCTGAGGCTTGGCGATTTTTTGCGAGCAACGCGACCAACAACCTATCACATGAATCTCGCGCCCCCGACATACAAAGCAATAGCAATGTTAAAACGAAGTAAACTGGATATAAAATCCCCAAACAGGCGAAAACCTACCAGTTTCACCCACTGTCTCTGCTACCTCCCTCCATGCCTCGCTCCTCCGGTTTGTATCCCGGTAGATGAACAGAGACTGATCATACAGCACCGGGTGATTCACTACCGCTATAATGAATTTTCCCTCCATTTTTTTTAATATGAGGATATGACCTGCGTAGTCTCTCCCAGCATACACGCGGTTTGATTGGCTAGCACTTGTACTGGCAGATTTGCATAAACGGGATTTCATTGGCTGACGCCAGCTTCGAGCAAGCATCGAGCCTCAAAAGTTGAACATTGTTCAACTTTTGACGCCGATAGACGCTCGCGATGCTTGCAACGCCTTGCCATGCTACCCACAATGCAGTTCGGCGAAGTTTGAAAATATCCTACGTCACCCCATTCAACTGACGGAGCGTCCACACAGCAGCGTGCGTTGACGCTTGGAGGTGGGCGTATCTGAAGCTTGGGGATTTTTTGCGAGCAACGCGACCAACAACCAATCACATGAATCTCCCGCCCCCGACATACAAAGCAATAGCAATGTTAAAACGAAGTAAACTGGATATAAAATCCCCAAACAGGCGAAAACCTACCAGTTTCACCCACTGTCTCTGCCACCTCCCTCCATGCCTCGCTCCTCCGGTTTGTATCCCGGTAGATGAACAGAGACTGATCATACAGCACCGGGTGATTCACTACCGCTATAATGAATTTTCCCTCAATTTTTTTGAATATGAGGAAATTACCTGCGTAGTCTCTCCCAGCATACACGCGGTTTGATTGGCTAGTGCTTGTACTGGCAGATTTGCATAAACGGGATTTCATTGGCTGACGCCTCCGTCGAGGCGTCAAAAGTTGAACATTGCTCAACTTTTGACGCCAGCTACGCCAGCAACGCTCCACGTCGCTTCCCAAAATGCAGTTCGGCTAAAAGTGACGTCACCCCATTCAAAGTGAATGGGCGAAGCGTTGAAAGCATTTTTTGACGCCTGTAGTGTAGACGGACCGTAAGAGACCTGACAGGTGATGGTCAGACGTTGACCTGGCTGCACAGTGTTGGAGATTTGGAGGGATAACTGGTCCGCTTTTCAAATCTCCGCGCGTTCCTATGAAGCTGGTTATAATACAGGAAGGAATCCATATCTACAAAGTAACCGTTAACAATAATCTACTTTAATGGCAATATGACAATGCAATACAATCATTACAATACAACATGATATATTACAGTTATATTGCAATACTTAAGGAGTAATGCCGGCTTACTCCTGCTCTAGTCCGCATACTGCAGAGCTACTTTCACCCGAGGGCAGCATGTGAAGAAGAGCCCGAACGCCAGGGATCCACCGGATATATACCAGAGTAAGAAGGAGGGGTTTGGTGTTAGGTCAGCTGGTCATCTTTTCAGGTCATCTCATTGGGAGACGCAACGCAGCAGGAAACGCAGCAGGAAACCAAACAGGCTCACTTTCCAACAAAAGGTCTCAAGGCCTGCATACCTACACCTCCCCCACAGAGCAATAAAACCCTGTTTACTCCAACCAGCCCAGAATGTTTATAGCCATTTGTAGTCCTTACATTTATGAAAGGATAAAACAGAGAAATCAATATAAAACACAAACACAGGTATTGTTTGAACAGTATTCACTTAACTGCTACTATTGATAAGCACCAGAGAAACCCAAGGGACCTCTCTTAACATCACAACCACTGTAGCTCGTTCTAAGTTGAATGCAAATCAGGACATGCTCTCACCTTCCCCCATCTTCCTTTGTCCTCAAAAACACATGTCAACAGGCCCCAAATGCAGCTCACAGTTTTACCCAAATTATTCCCATTTTAAGCTTATCCATAGTTTGCTAACATGAATAAATACAAATATAACTCTACAAATCCCCCTTTTTATCTCCTTCTCCAGAGATAAACTTAGACAAGGCATTTTGAAATATACCCACGGTCATTCTTTTCTACTGTGTCCGTAAATCCATCCGAAGCTGGTATTCAGAGTACTTGAAACCTTCATGGAGACCGAACACCACTTTCCATGGCAGTGAAGGAACCATGAGGGGGTAGCTGAGTGCTAGAATAATCAGCCCCCCCCCCCCTCGGAGGAATAGCCCACAAGGACAGCTAATAGGGAGGGGGAGATGCAGCTTGCCCTTCACGGGTGGAACTGATCAGAGCAAAGTAGACTCCTCTGCTGCGCCGTCCCGGCTTGCCGTGTCTTTGTCCCCCCAAATCCGCTGACAGCAGCTTCTGGGCTGCCTGCTAGAGAGATGTCTTCCTCCTCCTCGTCTTCCGGCCCGCTGATGGCGGCTTCCGGGTCGATGCTGTAGAGATGTCTCCAGGGTCCTCCTTCTCCGGCCCGCTGATGATGCCTCCCGGGTCGTCTGCTGTAAGGATGTCTCCAGGGTCCTGCTCCTCCAGTCTGCTGCTTCCGAGTAGTCCACGTCTGCCAGGGCCACGTCCGTCCTGATGTCGTCCCCTGGTCCTAGCAGGTGGTTTCCCCGCCGCACACTGGCTCCCGTGGTACGAGCTGTCCCCCTTTTCTCCCAGGCAGACGGCATAAGAGGTCCGCTGGGTCACTCGGTCGGGGTCGGAGAGCCTGGGGTTGAGCCACTTTGTCCTCGTGCTTCTCGGGTCCCCCTTTTGGCGCCGGTGACCTGTGTGGAGAAATCTGATACAACTCCCTCAAGCCTACGCTCAGCTGTTTGACCCACTTGGAGCCTGTTGGTGGGGTGTCTTGAAACAACAGCCGTCTGTGAACAGGTTTTCTAAATTAATTGTAGACCTCCTATCTGCCAGTACAGCTTCAGAATCTTAGTACTTGGATTGTGCCAACTAAATAAGAACCTCAACATCTTTAGGTAAACTAAATAACATATTTCAATAGCTCTGAATTTCTGACAAGCATCTGTGTTTATTTTTAAATGAAATCCTATTTAAAATCCAAATATAATATGAACTGCTAATGTTTCTGGTAAAGAAACACACTAATGTTATGGATTCAAAAACAACCAAACTCACGATGCTAACAAAGTGAATGATTTCCTGGTGATACTGCTTCTACCTGTCAGTGCTTAGATATTATCACGCTGAAAAAATGAATACAGAATTCCAACAAACTGTCATCAAATGTCTTTCTATTCTAAATTT